GCAAGTCGCATTTGGTTTGAGAGAATTGGTCAAAACCTATAAAGGATCAGGCCCTGACCTTCTTTCTCCTCTCTTTTTTGGTCAGGTGCTGCAATTGCTGGCGTCTACAGAGCAGCCGGGAAGAAGATGAGCCCCTTTGAAGCCCTGGTTCTAGGAGTGGGGCAGACCATCTGCGTGGTCTTGATTTCCTTCTTTCGGGTTTTAGCCACCCTTTAGCATCAGGGGCAGAAACCAATATGGCTGGGGCAACGTTGTGCAGGATTCAGAAGCCGGAGGATTGGGGAAGAGCTGCTTGCAAGTCTTACAGGAGGCCAAATGGAAGTCGAGAAGGGTTTTGCCATGCTCTCGAGTGGATTCCATTCATTTCAACAACAAAGCGCAAAAAAACATTTGAGCAAATTGAACAAATTGCCTCTTTCTTCAAGTCTGGAGTGACTACCTTTCATCAACAACCGAAGATTCTGGAGAGAGCAGCCATTCCGCTGGTGTTGTGGCACCTCAGGATAAGTTTCACCTTGCTCTCAAACACCACCAGACCACGGCTGTAGGAATTATAGTTTATTGTAGAAGTTCCAAAAGAAGGCAAAGGTTAAGTCAATACAAAGTTCCAAAGTTCAGGTAAAATGCACGGTACAGTTCCAGAAATCCTTCAGAGACAATCAAGGTAAACAGGAATCATGAAGCAAGAAGCAGCTTAGCCCAAAAGCCGCACGAAGGAATCCAATGCAGAGGCATGAAACAGCTTAGCAGATAGCCACGTTGAAACTGACAGCTAAGAATTGCCCGAGACAGGCCTAAATACATTTTGCACATCAAAACAATCTAGCTTCCCACAAACTGCTTTCCCTTGCTCCCTTGACCTGTTGCTGATCTAACTTGGCTGCGATCCGGGAGCTCCGTCTCACGGTTTTGCTATCCCTTTGAAGGAGCACCTGGCCCTCCTCCTTATCAGCTACATTCCTGTCCTGTGAGAACTGCTTCTCCAGCTCGTCTGCAGGCTGAGAAAACTGAAAACTGAAAAGCATCAGACTCAGGGGCCTGTTGAACCACAACAGATGTCTTTCTGGCACAGACGTGGCTGCTTCCCGACATCGCACAAAACTTTGCAAGATGTTAGCACCAACTCTCCTCTTCTCAAAAATGTGAGAGAGTCTCAATCTGAGATGCAGAGGTTTTGTCGCGACCCAAGGAACACAGATTGTCTTAAACAGCAATTGGGATGCAAAATAATAGTCTTTTAATGAATAACAAACTTAATGAGGCACTTTAACAGCAGTGAAAGCAGTTCAAAAGATGTTTTCAAACAAGAACGTAAACAGTAGATAATCCGGATATCTAGCAGGCTTGAATAGCAGCCAAAAGTAAACAGGAGATACAAGAGCTTGTAGCAAAATGCAAAGCAAAATAGTCTCTAAGAAATATAAAGTTCAATGCAAGGTCCGATAGGCAAATACGTAGTCCAGTCAATTCCAAGGTCAGGAAGCCAGGCGTAACACTCACGAACGAAGATTCCAAGGTCCGAAGAAGCACGGCAGGAAAACAGGATACTGGAAATCCAAGCAAGGTTAGGCAGAGTAACAACACGTAAACAACACTTTGTCGTCTGCAAAGAAACAGTTCCCAATGTGCTCATTTTATTCACTATCAGAAGATTGAGATTCATTACTCCCATCTGATTCTCCTTGCGCAGCTGAAGCATCTAAGCCACGCCAAGTCTGCCACCTTTGATCTAATGCCTGATCCTGCCAAGAAGATCCCTCATTCCAGTTATCCTGAAAACCCTCAAAATCATCGCTGGAGGTTGCTTGAGTGCAAATGTCTCTAATGTTCTGAACCAGAGTCCAGTCTAAAGCCTCCTCCATCTCATCCTCACTAGCACTGGAATTATCTGCTGTGTCTTTAAGCCTCTTAGACATAGTGTCACTATCACTGCCAGACTCACTGGCCACTCTCTTTACTCCCCTGTAATCTGCTTCTATAGCTTCCTCTGGGCTGAATCCTGCAAAGTCTTCCGAATCACTGGAAGCCAGAAAGATGTCACGAATACGTTTCAGCTGACGCTGATTCTCCTCTGCTTCTGCATCACTTCTTCTTCTTCTCCTACTACTAGTAGTAGGTATGGTGCCAGAATGCTGAGTCTCAACAGGTTTTGCTACTTCCGGACCGTATTTTGAAAGCATTTGCATCCCTCCTCTGCCCTTGAACAAGAATAAATAATAATAAACTTTATTTGTACCCCGCCACCATCTCGCCAACGGGGACGCGGGGCGGCTTACATGGGGCCAAGCCCAACAACACAACAACAAAATAAAATCAGAACATAAACAACAACATAATCAATTCCAAGCTTTTGGTCTCCTGAACCGAAGGCCGCTCCACGCTTACGTTTTGCAATGTTTTTGTAACCTCAAGTGCCAAGCTGATTGATCTTTTTCTTTGTGTGCGTGTGCAGCGAGCGAAGGTTGAATCGAGTAAACAGATTTCTATATTTCCCTAAACTGCTTTGTATCCTCGTATGGTTCCACGGGGAAAGGAATTGCTACTGAATCATGTTCTTGCGAGAGTGAAGTGCTTTGACGGACTTTTTCCTGTTGCAGATTGTCCGCAAATCATGTCAGACTGAGAGAAACACCGATTTCTCTGTTCCTACCTCAAACACACAGGATGGATTTGCAATGCCGTCCCACTGAATCCTTGTTCGCCAAACAAAGGGGAAGTGGAATGACATCTCGTCCATGCAACCGCAATGACTTTTGGTGTTCTGGGATGCTTTCTGAATGTTGAGGCCCTTGTTGAGGGGCTTAGTAGATATTTCGGACACTTGGCCCATCCCATAAGTATTGTGAACGAAGGGGTTTCCCTTCAGTTTGGGGGCTCGTCCGGGATATTGGGGGCTCGTCCGGGATATGAACCCGTGAGAATCCCTCGTCTTAATCCCGGTTGATGGAAGTATGTATTACAGGAATACTGACTTGTTCTCCTGGCCAAGCTTTCCACTGAGGGCTTGGGTTGCTTTGAGCTCTCCTCCACACAAGTGCCTGGGCCGCTTGCCCGCCTCCAAGGACCACTTTCAAGACCCTCACCAGCCCTTTGCCTGTCCTCACATGCCACCATTTCTGTGAAAATGCAAAAATCCTGCATCTAGGTTCCTGAGGGTTTCATTCATCCAATAAGGAAAGAGAAGACCTCATGTAAGCAATGGAATCCTTTCTGATGTGAGTTTCATGCAGCGCAGGCCTCATTTGGGACTCTGCAGTCGTCTTGTTTTCAAAATGCCCTCATTTTGGATAGTTCCTTCCTCGCAGGACTGTTGTGTTGTAGGCTTGATGTGAAATAAACCTCCCCTACTCATGCATCCTGAGAAAAAATCTTCCCTGAATGCCCCATATTGTCCCCCATATTGTCCTGTCTCATGCTTGATCTACAATATCATATAATGCAGCTTCAGAACGAGTTGCTGTGAGTTTTCTGGGCTTTATGGCCATGAAAACAACCCGGAAAACTCGTAGCAACCCAGTGATTCCGGCCATGAAAGCCTTCAACAACACACTCAGCTTCGGAATGATGATTAGCTGGATTATACGAGTCTACACTAGCACCCCGTCATGGCGCAGCAGATTAAACTGCTGAACTTGCTGACCATAAGGTCAGTGGTTTGAATCTGAGGTTATAATTATTCCCAAATATTTTAATTTAATTTTAATTTTTATTCCCAGGTTCCCCCTGTTTTATAAAATCAATTTCCTCATTTTTCATGTAATTAAGTAACATCACAAAAGCCCCCAGTGGCGCAGTAGGTTAAACTGCTGAGCTGCTGAACTTGCTGACCGAAAGGTCAGTGGTTTGAATCCGGGGTTATAATTATTCCCAAATATTTTAATTTATTTTTAATTTTTATTCCCATGTTTCCCTCTATTTTATAAAATCAATTTCCTCCTTTTTTGTATAATTAAGTACAGTATATTCTGGCGTATAAGACTACTTTTTAACCCAATAAAATCTTCTCAAAAGTCAGGGGTCGTCTTATACGCGGGTGTAATCTTATGCGTGGGAGTCGTCTTAACTCTATATTTTAACTGGAAAAGTTGGGGGTCGTCTTATACGTCCAGTCGTCTTATATGCCGGAATATACGGTAACATCATGAGAGCGCCCAGTGGCGCAGTAGGTTAAACCGCTGAGCTGCTGAACTTGGTGGCCGAAAGATCAGTGGTTCGAATCCAGGGAGCGGAGTGAGCTCCCTCTGTTAGGCCCAGCTCCTGCCAACCTACCAGTTCAAAAACATGCAAATGTGAGTAGAACAATAGGTACTGCTTCTGCAGGAAGGTAACGGCGCTCCATGGCGTCATGCTGGCCACATGACCTTGGAGGTGTCTACGGACAACGCTGGCTCTTCGGCTTAGAAATTGAGATGAGCACCAACCCCCAGAGTCGGACACGACTGGACTTAATGTCAGGGGAAAACCTTTACCTATGGCCATGAAAACAGCCCGGAAAACTCACAGCAACCCAGTGATTCCGGCCATGAAAGCCTTTGACAACACACTTAGCTTCAGAATTCCAATTAACTGGATTATATGAGTCTACAGTAGTCCCCGTCCCCCCCGGTGGTGCAGCAGGTTAAACTGCTGAGCTGCTGAACTTGCTGACCAAAAGGTCAGTGGTTTGAATCCGGGGAGTGGAGTGAGATCCCACTTTTTTAGCCCTAGCTTCTGCCAACCTAGCAGTTCAAAAACATGCCAATGTGAGTAGAACAATAGAAAGGTAATGGTGCTCCATGCTGTCATGCTGGCCACATGGACTTGGAGATGTCTATGGACAACGCCGGCTCTTCGGCTTAGAAATTGAGATGAACTCCAACCCCCAGAGTCGGACATAATTGGACTTGATGTCAAGGGGGAAAACCTTTACCTTTTGCAAATGTGAGTAGAACAATAGATACTGCTTCTGCAGGAAGGTAACGGCGCTCCATGCAGTCATGCTGGCCACATGAACTTGGAGGTGTCTATGGACAACGCCGGCTCTTCGGCTTAGAAATTGAGATGAGCTCCAACCCCCAGAGTCGGACATAATTGGACTTAATGTCAAGGGGAAAACCTTTACCTTTTGCAAATGTGAGTAGAACAATAGGTACCGCTTCTGCAGGAAGGTAACGGTGCTCCATGCAATCATGCTGGCCACATGAACTTGGAGGTGTCTATGGACAACGCCGGCTCTTCAGCTTAGAAATTGAGATGAGCACCAACCCTCAGAGTCGGACATAACTAGACTTAATGTCAAGGGGAAACCTTTACCTTTTGCGAGTCTACATTGCCATATAACCTGGTTCATTGCAATCTGTGTTCAGAAGCTGCATTGTATGGTAGTGTAGATCCAGCTTCACTGAACAAAAAAGTCCAATTTCTCCCTAAAATAGGAAGAAATTGTCCCTGGGAGGCATATACGATCTCTTAAAAAATGAAAATTGAGGGGTTTAACCTCTTAAGTTTCCCTAGAAGGGCATGACAGTCCCTTACCACTGTGTTTACATCATCCATAGGCTATTATTACTACTACTACTACTATGGGAAGTTGCATTTTAATTTCCTTGCTCCCAAATCTGCTTTTTGGCCAGCATCCCCATGCCACTAAAGAACTGGACTCAAGGAACTGATTGTTTCCAAACAGCGAATGGCCCAAATACTAGTGCAAGTGAGTTACTAAGAGGTTACTCTTTACATGCAACAGTCAGGGTTGAGAACCAGGGATCTCAATCATCATGGCATCGTCTTTCCAACTACTTGAGTGTGGTTTGTTGTAGGTTTTTTTGGGCTGTATGGCCATGTTCTAGAGCAGCGGTTCTCAACCTGGGGGTCGCGGCCCCCAGAGGGGTCGCTGGCCCACTTTATGGGGGTCGCGAAGGCGCCTCGGTTGGCCGGCAAGGGCAAAATTACAGTTATAAAGGAGCAACGAAAATAATTTTATGATTGGGGGGTCACCACAACATGAGGAAGCATATTTAGGGGTCACGGTGTTAGAAAGGTTGAGAACCACTGTTCTAGTGGCATTCTCTCCTGACATTTCGCCTACATCTATGGCAAGCATCCTCAGAGGTAGTGAGGTCATACAATTGAATGTGGCTTTGCGTTTCCAGGTTTGCAGTGCACTTTATAGCTCTCATTTCCCACTTTTGGTGCCCTAAACGTGGGCTCCACGTTCTTTCCACCTCTCATTTTGGGGTCTTGTTTTTCCATTTTGCAACCAATACTTGGAGGAAAGAGTCCTTCTTTTCCCTTTTCCTCCAAATTTTTATACAATCCGATATATACAAACCGTTGGGAAGCCCAGTGTCAGTGGGTATGAACGGAATTGGGCAGAGCCAAGTTCCTAGTCCTTATGAACCATGTCAAAAGACAAGGAAGCTGCATTTGGGAAGAATACCCACTTTCCCCACCAATCCCATTGCGGCAAATGCAGTCATATCCCGTTACCATTCGTAAGGGGTAAACTATACATTCCAATTACTTTTCTGATGATGTTGGTGGTCTTTTCTGCTTTTGTAAACAGGAAGTAAGACACATTTCAAGGCAGATTCTGAGCCTCGCTTGTGAGCAAAGGCCCTCTCATTGCTGTTTCTGAACTGAATGAAGCATTGAACAAATGTGAATATATATATATAATCTCTGTCTGTCAGGGAGAACAAAAGTACTAATATAACCCGTTTTTATTTTTCTACTGACACTTCTGATTTGAGCATTGGTATTTTAGCTAATAAAATCCCTACTGATCCTTGTGACTTGATAGTAGTGTGTCTTCTTTTGCAACCGGAATACTTTTCATGGCTTTCACTAGGAAATTCTGGTCTCGAAAAGACTGTCATCTTCTTAACTAGAGGTAAATCTATATATATAAAAACTAGCTTTACCCGCCACGCGTTGCTGTGGCCAACCTTCTCTCCCTCTTTCTCTCCTTTCACTCCTTCCTTCAT